CTGCTGGGAGCCAGAAGCACCATGTATACCAGCATAGCTTGTGTCCTTGGCCCTTCTTGTGGAAATGAGCCATGTTCTCTGGTGGGCTGGAGAACACGCTACAGCCCTTGCTTAACCATAGGGCAGCTGCTGCACTGGCTGCAGGCCTCCTTCTCCTACTCCACCAGCTGCCTGCCCAGACACCCATTCCTAAAAAAAATGTATTTAATTTGGTCAAACAAAGGAAAAGAAAGTGTATTCCAGTGAAATGGCTGACATCAATCAGCTATCTAGTGATCTGGATGTAGCTTCTTGGAATAACTTTTCAGATATAAAAAAAAAATCAAAATATGAAGACTGTATTCTGATAAAGATCATCATTCTAGTTGCAATAGAGAAGTCCCTTGACTACAAAATCATCTTATCTGATGTAGCCTTCATTTAAGAAAGTTATAAGAAGTCACTAAGCTGTTGTGTGAAGCCAGACAGCTGAAATTAGAACAGCTTCCACTCTAAATGCAGCCACACGTCCCTGTCCCAAGCCAACGTGAAGGCCCACAACACCTGGGCAGCCGGGCAACACAATTACTTCTTAGTGTCTGATAAAGGACAGCAGGCAAAAATGGAGAGAAAGCAGTAAAAAAGCACACAGGCAGAGAAGCACAAGTAACACAACTCCAAAAGAAATAATTAAGTCACATACAAAATAATTAGCAGCTTCAATCAAATAAGTGAGTTTGTTTCCGTCTATATTAGCATAAATATATGTTTCATACATTCCTTGCAAATAAATAGGAACACATCAAGGAAATACCTCATCTTTACTGTCCTCTCAGTAGGGTTTAGTACTTTTTGAAATCAGAATTAATTTTTCATGATCCAATGAAGTTGATAAACCAGCAATGGCAAATTCCATATTTTTTTATTTTAATTAGAAAATTGAAATTTAGAAAAAGAGTAATGAAAACTTGAAGACTTTTCTACCTCACAGAGGTAATTGTATAATTGCAGCAGGGGTATTTGACCCATAACATCGTAATTTTTGAGAGGTGTGTTGGTGTGGAAATTTCCAAATTGTAGTGAAGAAGATTTTTAATACGCCATTTTAGTGCAGTCCAAACTCTGGTCTGTGGACCAGACTCTACAAATGGGATATACTTCTCTGGCTTGTTGCCATTTGCCTTTGGGAGAGACAGGGCATGTTTGTTTGAGCAGTGAACCTGTCCTAAATTACTACTGCTCCCTGTCATGCCTGAATAGAGTCCAACATGCAGATGTTTTTTCTGTTGTACCTTCCTGAGGGGAAGGTGGAGCCAGGAGCCCAGTTGAGAGACCAGGGCATCCACCCAGCCTACAGGTTGGTGAAGAACGGAATGGTTTCAAAACTATGATCCAGTCTCTGTAATTACTGAAAAGAATATTTCGCGACCATATTGAGATAGTCAGCGTTTGACATGCTGCTGGTAGTGAGGAACTAGGCTCACGAAGGATCTGACAGGTTGGGAGCTGTGCTTGCTGGTGTCAAATAAATGCCAGCAGGATTATCAGGGTTTGCCTTTGACTGCAAAGAATGCATTTGCCTTTTGATAATCAGTGGGGCCTTGGATCTATCAATTGGCTGGGTTGGAACGTGTTCACACAAGGAGTGATGAGGATGTTCTTATACAGCCGCTGTGAGTTGTTTTGTTTAGAAATCTTGTATTTTTTTAAGATATGTGTACCACAGGTCTGATGATGATGTTATGAAAGTAGTGTAAATAAACATAACTGCAAGCAATGAGATCTCCAAATGTATTACAGAGACTTAAGGGAATGTGGTATTTACTGGTTTGTGTTACAAAAGTGTGCCCTCTAGGAATGGGTGCTTCGAGGACAAGCTCTCACTGAAATGGTACTTGCTCTGGCCTGGAGTACAGCAGTGTTAAAAAAGTGCCAGCAAATTTTGGTTTTGGAAGAGTTACTTTATGATTCTAGTAATAGGGAAGATTTGGGCTTCTGACTTTCTAGTGAAGATAATGCATGATTTTTTAATAAAAAAGATCTGATATGATTCTAGCAAAGTAGCTTTTCTAATCTCAGTGTAATCTGACAGTCAACAGCATGCACATTCACCACCCTCCCTCCTTTCATTTTTCCTTTGTCCTTCCCATTCACCTATCCTCTCTTAGTCTTTTTATCATCCTCACCATTGTATTTCCCATTTTAGCTCTAGTTCACACGCCATAGCATTATCCAAACACTGCAAGAGAGCTGGTGAAACTCCTTGTGATTTTGCTATCACCCCTTTTCCTGTTCTCCCACCCACCTCCTCTTTTGTGTGTCCTGTCTTTACCCAGGCAATGCTTTCCAGTGGAAGCAAGCAGCTCTGCCCAGCAGCCGAGCACCTCTGCAGGCACCGGGTGAGTCCGAACCCTCTTTGCTAACAGTGGTGGCACATAGATGTTAGTTTTCCATAGGTATTTGCACTTAGTCATCATCGAGCTTCCACGGCTCTGGCTGCTGGGGCTCGGGAGGACCCACGCAGCCCCTCTTCTCATACCTTGCCAGCCCTGTGGTGGGGGGAGCAGGGAGCCAGCCTTCCTCGGGAGCCAGCCTGCTGGATGAGACGATGCTGATACGTGTTGCCATAGCAGCAGCAGCAGAAGATACAGCTGGCCGCCTTCTCGGGGAGAGCAGGAGCTGGAAAATACTCATTAATTTTGTTTCACAGGCTTTAGAAATCTGCAGGAAGGACCCATTTGAAAGAGGTGTTATGAAACATCTCTGCTTACACATTCTTCCCTTTGTCCAGCCACCAACTCTAAAAATGTCTGGGAGAAAGAGTCAATAGTGTTACCAAGCATACCCAATACCACTGCTGTGCCCTGTCTTGGGCAGCCAGTTTGATTGTTTCTCTGGAGCACTGCCTTCATGACAGAGAGTAGTGGGAGAGGGAAAGGTAATTTTTCGGGTGGCAAGGGTCAGTCCTGTGGAGAGCACAGAAGCGAGAGGAGGCATTTTCAGTGGCTTGAGTTTCCAAGCAAATAAGCTGTTACATTTTGTCCTCTGTCCCTTCAGGGCTTTTGGTGGTACCCTGGTTTATAATACATCACAGCAGTGAAACCCAGCAGCCAGGATCTGATTAGATAGCCTGAGTGTTGGCAGTCGCCAGTGGAAGCACATTTTCTACAAAGCCTTTGCCTGTCACCCTTCAAAATAGCTGAGTCCAAAAGGACCCTGGAGTTTGAAATGCCTTCACAGACAGTGAGCAGGTGTCAGCAGCAGATGGGGGCTTGACTGGAGGAATCCAACTCTCACAGCATGTCCCTTTTAGTAGCGACTTTGCCTCCCCCTCCTATAGGATTAGCCTCAGCAAAACAGGCAGGGAGAGAGGTAGGAGATGGTAAAGGAAGAAAGCAGCCTATTGTGCCTTCATCCCTGGTGTTTCAGCCAAAAGCCTTTGCAGATCCAGGTGAATTCTGCCCATGTGAAACATCACAGCAGGCTTGCAAAGTAAATGGGGGACAATTGAAAAAAAAAAGCCATCCAACTGACATAGGGTGCATAAAATGGAATTATTGTGAAGTCGAAGCACAAGGATGATTATTCTTTCATTATTTGCATGCTAATAATCATTATTACCATTCCAAATGAACCGCAACTACAAATACAAACCTGCGATTTTGGTGCAAGAAGTTGGAAGACGTTGCACTGTTAAATGGATAATACTTTGCTGTCTTTATAATGAATGGTTCCGTTTTATCTTAAAATTAAGAAACTGGTCTTCAGAGTCATTAGAAAATCATGGGGATACTAAAGGACAGGAAAGAGAGTGAGATTTGTTTCCCAAACACAATGCTCCAGCCTAGTGCACTCCATCCAGTTTTAGATCATTTTCTTACTAAATGCAGAATAAATTGCTGGGCTTTTTAAAGGATTTTTCTGTTGTATATTTTACCACAGTGGAAATGCCTGCAGTTCTGGAGATGCAGCTGATAACAGGACCAATAGCCAAAAAAAAAGAAGAGTGAGTTTCAGATGCATCATGCTTGTAACAAAATGTCTATCAGTGTGTTTAATTAGAACTGCTATATAATATGTTCTCATGAAATACAGTTAACCCATCATCTTCTTCAATATAATCTTTGTCTGCATAATCCCACTAAATGCTTACTTTCCCCACTCCTATTTCACCTGGTAGCTAAATATTTTTGTTGTCTTAATGTCTGCTCAAATAACTTTATCTGTGCTGAGAGCGGAAATTGTGGCTGACAGCCCAGGTTTTGAATATTAGGGGAGTTAGTGGGGCACAACCTTCCTTGCCTGAGGCCCACAGTAACAGACCCTCATGCTACTGAGCCAGTGTCTTTTCAACGCACACGGAGTTTATTGGCACGATAAGTATTTAAATACTAGGAAATTATTGAGAAAAAAAGAGCGCAACCGCTGCTCAGCAAAAAGGGCAGATGCGAAGGTAACCTGTGGCAATTCTCCCACAAGTGTGCTGTCATGAGGTGGCTTGACACTGGGGTTGTTGGAAGTCAGCCAGCAGAGCATGACCAACAAACTTACGTGGACCAAAATGAAGAAAAAAGGAGAGACTGGATGTCTGTCTTATTTTTACGGAGCACTCGGGTGCGGTAATGAGTGCTCTGAAGTGGATGTAATGACAGCTGATGAGAAATGTGCTGTCACCCTGACAGCAGAGCCTACTATCTGCAGCCTTATTTAGAAGGTTACAACTGTGACATGAGTGCTATAGAAAATGTATGTGGAAGATATGTATAGCATTAAATATTCACTGGTTTTGAAAAGAAATTCATGTACTGTTTAGGATTTAAATATTTAGTCAGCCATTCTTGTTTCTTTCATCCACTCCTACTTTCTAAAAAAAAAGGACAAGCATTCCTCTGAAGAAATACATCTTATAAAAAAATCATGTTATACAATTTCAAGAAAGTACTTAATACCTTTAACAGAACTGACAAGATAATTGTGATCTTTTTTTTTATTGTTCAAAATAAATTCTGATGCATTGGGAGCAAGAATTTGCACAGTTCTCCACCTGTCATTTATCTGAAGACTGAACAAAAGACATGTCAGTTCCCTTGGCCTGGATTCAGCAGTTTCTATCTTTCGGAGCAAGAGCTAAGGAAGAAATACCCCTATGAAATGGTATGTTGAAGTATTTGGTTAGCAAGCAAGTTAGCTCTTTGTCTGTGTGATCTTTTTCTACCCTCTTTCTGGTTACCTTCTCCAGGTTGTACTGCTTGCCAATGAGTACTACAGCCATTGTCAAGATATTTTACTCATGGTGAGAAAGAATGAGCTTGACAAGGTATGCCTTTGCTTTAATAACACTCATTCTGATGACAGCAAACAACTCTAAGGACAAAATTGTGTCTGTGTAGCTTACTTACTCGATGGTTTGCTCTAAGGTAGGTGATAAATTATAGACAAAAGGAGCACTCAGTCAAATTATTTGGGAATTCTTAAATAGCACAGGATACTCCAAGAATCTGAGTTTGTAGACATATCCTGAGCACTCCTGGCACATCAACAAGGTCTGAGCCCAGCGCAAAACACAAGGCCATGGACACATTTCTTTCATTGTATCTGCATATCCATAGCACAATAATCTGTTTCTCTCCTCTTTCTTATGCTGCATTGAGAGGTTCAGCTTGTTGCCCCAGGATGCTTCCACTTACGCTGGAGCCCAGCCAGGATGGGGCCATGCAAAGAGCCCAGCTCCACGGTCATTCTTTTGCATCTGTGCTTATGTGTGTCGTTTTACTGAATTACGCTTCACATTTCACCACTGTAAAATCGGTGAAAATTCACAAAGGACTTTGGGTGACAGGTGGAAGACTGTATCATGTCATTCTGGAGGTCTCTGCAGCCTGAAAGAAAAGCACTGATGTCCTTGCCAGATGTATGCCAGCTGTTCAAAAGCTATGATAGGCAGCTATTCAAGGTAACGTAGACACACTTATTTGTCGTAGTTATGTTGTTATGTGTTTGTGTCTTTTCAGTAGTTCTATCTGAGGTGAAAGGCCAGCTATTTCTTGTGTGCTGTACAATGGAATTTTCGTTTGTACCTCAAGTCTGTTCTTTGGGGTTTTTTTGGATTTTTTTAAGTAGCCAGTGGAATTTGAGATAACTTCCTTTTTTCTGCTATATATTCCTTTGAAAGTCCCTAATATCAATGGAGTATGCTCTTATAAATGTGGTCTGTGGTTCTGGCATGAGGTTACGTGACTGAAATTTCGACTTGATAACTGTTTACCAAATTCTGAGAGTTACTTTTCCTTTGAGACGACTACTGCATTTCTCTGTGACATTCCACATAGAAATATGCAGTTTCCTGATCAAAATAATTTTCACCTTATTTACAGCAGGTCGTTAAGTAGTGTCTACAAATGAATTCAGGAAATTACGTTTGTTGTTAGGATCTTTTTTCTTCTGCTAATAAATGTAGCTTAGCTATTGCTTAATTTGAAGAAAAAAATGCAGTTCTTTATATTTTTATTTAAACTATTGATACAATTCGGTTTTACGCTGCTGTAAATCTCTGTAGTACACCAATCATGTGCAGCTCCATGAATTTGTATTCTAGGAAATGGAGAACATCCTATTTTATGATTTCCTGGAGGAAGTGCCTGTGCAACACATGAAGTCAATCAGAATGTTCAGTAAAAATGTTGGACATTGGCTGCTTAAGGCTTTGGAAGAATTTCCATTACCACTCCAAACATCCAAATGTAAAGGTATGTTTGAGTAATAGAGAGATTTTCATAAAATAACCTTTGTTTAAACTGCAGAGAAGATTGTGTTACAAGACTCTTACAGAAATTATTTTTTAAAATTTTTTAGCTGATGTAACTCTGATAGCAGTGAGGACTAGAGTTAGTTGGGATACAGTTAAAAATAAATAGTCTTAGATAATGTGAGAGCAAATTTAAGCCAAAATTATTCCCAATTCATAGTAAATTAAAATGTACTTGAATCTTTTTAAAGAACTGTCTCTTGCCATGATCATTTTGGCTGTGTATGTCACTGAATAATATGCAGTCTGCCCTCTGAAATTCAGGTATTGTTCAGCCTCTTTACCTTGCAAGTGCTTTTATGCAGATGAATTAATTAATGGTTATAGCGCAGTTCAATATAAAGGGAAACCCAGCCATAGTCCCATAGGAAACTATGACTCTGTCATTAGAGGAGAATTTGAAAAAGTCTGTACTATACAAAGGTGTGTGCATATGTGTGTGTTTGTAAATATGTACCTATATACATACATATATTTATATATAATGCTGAAGATTCTGATTAAAACATAATATTGCTTAGTCACTCATTGAGTGAAGACCAACTCCTCAGTGGCAAAGCAAGGCTCCCATGTAGACAAAAGATTGTATTAGCATTCATATGCTCAAGGAAGACTTGCAGAAAGTCTTAATTCTGGCATTTCTTGCATTTGAATGCTTGACAGAGCAAACTTAGTAATGTGTATTTAACATGTGTATGCATGGAAGTATATGTAATTAATCAGCTGCGACCCTTTGTATATACGTCCTGGTCCTTCTGGTTTCTACAAATTTCAGAGAAACAGGAATTTTCATTGAAAACAATTGCCTGTCTACAGAAGTTTGTAAGTTGCTTTATACTCAATTTTCCTGCAACTAAGAGTCAGTTATTTTATATTTTATTCCTAAAAATTATATTCTTGGACCATGCTTGTCATAATTACTCTACATTATAAACAGGAGAAAATAGAACCAAAGAAACCAACTCCTGTTAACAGGGCTGTAGAATTATAGGTGCATAAAGGAGTAAATGTAAACCCTCTAAACAAAATATAGGAAGTTTAGAATTAACGTAGCTTTCATTCACCTTGAACAACCATACATGTAAAAGAATATGCCTTGATTAAGAAGTATCTAATGTAAAAAATATTTGAAGTATTTTTCCTGAAAGAGGAAGGAAGAGTGGTGACCTGGGCAGCTGCTGCTTGCAAGCTTTAAACTGTGAGGGTCCCCAGCCCAGCCCACAATGCTGGCTCAGTGCCCTCGCTGTGCCCTCTGTTAGCCTCCGTATCTCCCCTAGGGATCTACTTTCTAACCTAAAAGATCTATCTTCACTAACGTCTTTTAGATTGTAAAATATTAATGATATGAAACGTCTGCCTCTTCTTCTTTAACAGAAGTTACAGTGTTTATAAAAAGACTCAGGAGAAAGACAGACCTTTCTAACATGGCCAAGGTATGTTCTAGAATCCATGAAATAAAAAAGCTGGGCATCTCACTCTCTCAAGCAGTTTGGACTATTTATGAGATGCTCCATTGTAGGACAACAGCAGCAGCAGCACAGGTGTTCTTAGCTGTATACTCACCATGGTCCAAATCATACTCACCCTCCCATCTGTCTCTTCCCACACCGTAAGTATGCTGAGAGGGCCTTTTCCTCCCTCTGGATTCTGTGAAAGCCTCTGAGATATGGTCAATGGTTCCCCCATGAAGAGGAGACCACAACAGCTGGAAGGGTCAGATGGCAGTTTCCAGTATCTTCACCCAGCCATGCCAAAGCCAGCTGGACTTATTCTAAAATTGGTTTTATGCAGCGTCCTGACCACTCTCTCTGACAAGTGCTGCATCAGCTTGCACAAGGAAAATCACTAATATGCCAGCTGCAGTGAAGCTGCATGGTTGAGGATCAGGCCGTGAAGTCTTTAAGGGCACAAGATCCTCAATTTTTTCATGGATCCCAGGGATCAGCTGGAAAAATCTCCATCGTCTGATGGGACGGTGCTGGAAGAAGCATTGCAGAGAAGCATCCCCTGAACTTTCCTCCTCACTCAGATTGGCTTTTTTTCATTGGGAAGAGAGAGATAAAATCTCTTTAACAATGAATATCTCTGCCTGCTTTTTGGTCCACAGTAACATGCTTCTCAGCCACAGTGACAAACGAGGTGTATCCTGGAGCTTCATTTTTAACCTTTTGAACACTGTGAAGTAAATTGTTTCATTTGGTTCTGCACTATTATGACAGGCTGTACCCTCCCTGGAGCAGTACTTCTATTGGTGTGGCCATGAATGCTTCCAAAACCTTGGGTTTTGAAGGCGGTCTGGGCCACAGATAGGTCACAAATGGGAAAGAAAGCATAAGAGAACAGATGGTATATCCTCTCCTCTCCATCAAACAGCAAATACAAGATTGTCCCAACATGCTGCCTGGCTTAAATCACTACATTGTGTCGCCACAATAAAGGGGATGAAGGAAGGGAACTGCTGCTTCGTGAACTTCGTGGTGGTGTTACATTCTTCCTTAATAAACATAGCCTCTCTTTATGGGAAAACTCATCACCAGTAACACACAAAAGACACACCTCACTTTAAAAAACTTTTAAAATATCATAATAATGCACAAACATGCGTAGGTGTGCTAACACAGGCAAAGGGTTGACTTCTGTGAGGTGCTGAGCACTCGCAGTTCCCATTTACTGCAGCAGCCCTTGGAGAGACTAAATACTTGAAAAGGTCAGCTTTATGTGCTTCTAAACAGTGCTTCTTATGCATCGAGGATGTGATCCAGCACGACTGCAAGTGCCGGCTATTCCTGGTCATTTGCATTTGATTTGCATACTCAGGCTTTACATTATCCTTGTGCTCGAGCCATGATGTCAAGGGGCTGGTTGTAGCTTTTTGATTCTTCCCTGCTTATTCCTACCGTGCAGAAAACCTGCAGAGAGTCAACATTGAATTTATACCCTCCAGATTTGGGGCAAGAGAATTGCAGCCTAGTTGGGGGGAAATCTCTAGTGGCAGCCTCTGGCTGCTCTACATCCCCTTTATGCTGTTTAACTGGCACAAAGTGAACCTCGCAGACCCAAGAATCGGGGCCAGATCTATGCTTACAGCTGAGCGCACTCGGCGCCTGGTTCTTGTTCATGCTAACAAGCTTTTGGCACTGTTCTCACAAGTAAATGACATTTGCACCTCCTCTAGAGCCTCTTTAAAATACAAGGGAAGGGCAAAGGATTTCCAGTGTATCTGATGATTAGTCCCACTGGCAATTTTAAAACAATGGTTTCAATAAGTGCAATTATGTAAGTCTTGTAAATGAGCATTCCCATAGTCTTTCAGTGGTCACATAGCCTTTATTACAACTTCTGTTCCAGATCTTGCCAAAGCCATGTATACTGGGCTCCAGCGAAACAGGGTAGGAAACAGATACCAGCTAAATGTTCTCCTGCAAATGCATCCCCCTGTCCATTGCACACCAGAAGATGGTTAGCTGAACATCACAGGTGTTTAAAATTTTCAGCTTGTGAGAAACACACAGATGCTTCATGGAGAGGTGGGCATCCCTCAGAAAGTATCACTGAGTGTTTCACTCAGTCAGACCCAATCCTAGGCCTGTGTGGACTCATATCCCATTTCCCCTGGCAGCCCTCATTAGATGCTCATGTGAAGTGGGTATGAGCGGAGCAAGTGATACCTCACTCCTCCTTCATTGTACTCTCCTGGCTTCCAGCAATCTGAGATGAAGGTTATATCCACATCTTGGGTTTTAGTAGCTTGATTTTGGCATCCTCAACACCTTGTGGTAGTGAGTTCCAGGGTTTGATTCTTTGTTGTGGGAAAAAATGCTTTTATGATTTTAAAATTTCTACTCTTCTTCATGCAATTCTGCCTGCAAACCTCCGTCCCATCCTTCCTCAGTTATTTGTATTCGAAGCTGAAGTTTATCTCATCTTCTCACATAGAAGTCATTTGATATTTCTAATCATCCTTCTCAGTTTTCTCTGTCTAAAATGCACCTGGAATTTCAGCTAGAGACTGATGGTCAAAGCAGGTGAGAGTGCTCCTAATGAGAAGTACTACAGAGCTGCGCAGCTGCAGCCTCTGAACAGTGTAACCACACCATCCCTTGTAGAGTACTTTGCAATAATTTAGCCACCTGGTGAGAAAAGAGGAACAATTTTGTCAGGGTCAGCATTCAAAAGAAAAAAAAGTTACTTTCCCATCATGTGTAGATAAAGCAGGCTGACAGCTGCTACTACCTGGACACGCAGAACTAATTAGAGCATAAAAAGGTGCAAATTCCGTGCGAGAAAGGAATGTGAATATGATGCTCATCGTTTCCTGGGGCTGATTCCTGCCTCTGGTAAGCTGTATTTAAGTGTTGTTGGAGCTGGCTCTCAGGCATTTAGATAATTATATTTAGCATAGTGGAGTGCAATGGCTAAAGGAACCAGTCTAAAACACTGGGGCATGGAGTCGGGTGCTCGCAGCATAACGAAGATACTGCCCCAGTAGTTCCCAGCGTTCAGGTCCTGTGTTCTTGTTGCAAGCAGCAGCTCTTCTTCTGACACTGGAAACTCCAAGTAAAATAAGAAAAAAAAAGGCTTAGTCTTTAACTTAGCTGAAGGGTATTACCGAGTGAGAATCACAGTGCTTTTGGTGTTTTAGTAAAGCTAGCAGAGCGATGAAAAAGAAAAATCGCCGGGTTCGGAATTATGTTTGCAAACAAATGGGCAGCTGCATTCACTGCTGTTTGTGGGGTCATGGTAAGCACCTGGTGAATGGGATGTGTTTACGAAAGTATTTATGAATCCTGAAGTTCTTCTGGTTTTTATAAAGATTATTTTTCCTCTGGAAGGCCAAACTGGACATGGATTATTCATAGAAAAGCCCAAAATTCAACAAAGGCTTTAGGACCTTACTGATTTCAGTATGGAAGTAAGAGGCTTACGGATTAACAAATTTTAAGGGATTCCTTTTTAATTTCCCTCACTGTTTTCATCATTTCATCAAGAATCTGAAGCAATACTGTTTGATATTAGTAATTAAATTTTTAAAAAAAGTGAAGAGATAAGGATCAAATGGTAGGCTGAAAATTGTTTGCAGTATCTATGTGAGTAATATTTCTGGGGACAAATGTGAAGCCAGATTCACTCACAAATGATGCATAGGCAGATAAATGGGATAAAATGCCAACTAATATTAGTTTAACTAATACCGTATTTCTTATGTTATTCTTACTTTCTCGAAGGTTTGGGCAACTTGAGAAAGCTTGCCTTTGAATTTAATTGAAACATGTACTATGGACAGGTAATGCCGAGGAAAAGTCAGCCCTGATACACCATTCCAAGTTTTAGACAAAATACCATTATTTGGTGTAACTATAATATCTCTAGGCAAAACCAATTGCCCAGGCAATTGGCCGAATACTGCAGGCATGTTAGCCTTGTCTGCTCCATCACAGACAACAACACAGAGTGTCATTGAGAAGATATCTCCCAGAACAAAAAACTCTTGAAGACAACTTAAGATTCATCTCCTTTGATTTTTTTCTTTCCCCCAGTTTGGAGACTGGTTATATAAAGTCTAGTATTGAATAAGGGGAGCTTTTTGACTGAGTTAAGGGCTTGAGAAAATGAAAGGCATTAACTGTTTTCTTACTCTCTTTAGACAATGAGAACAGTCTTGAACTGCAACAGCAAAGTCACTGTTCTGCGGTCAGACTTGCATGCTGTCATCAATCAGGGATTTCTGGATGTGCCTGGAATCCTCTTTCAAATGAAGTTTAGGAATCTGGAGGAGCTGCAGAATGCCATAGAACTCAAATGTAATATTTTTTTGCTGTATTTTGTCTATCCACTTAAGCCCTTGCTTGCCATTGTTAAAGCTCCAGCATTTCCTCTTGTTTATTCATGGCATCTGCCCTAATGGGAAATACAGCCTTGCTGTAACCCGAAGTACTGGAAAACAGCCAATAAAACTGAGAATGGAGCATGTAATACCATCCTTTTAACTTTAAAGGTTAAGAATGAAAGGCTTTTCGTTCTGACTCTTCCTTAAAGCTTTCTATGGCAGCAGGAGGGGGGGTTGTGTTATTAAATGATGCATCATCTAGAAGAAGGTTGACAAAGAGGGATATTCGGGGGGCTTTTACCATTTTCTTTGACAAAAAATAAGTTTCTAAGAGTTGCATTTCACGTTTTCCTCTGTTATTAATCAAAGTACACAAAACAATTTCTTATGGCCAGATTTTAAGATATTGTATGCTGAACTGGATGAGTTCTACTGGCATTTCAGCTTTCACGTCCTTTGGGTATATTGCGGCCTGCGGGATCGATGTGCTGCTGTAAACAATAAAATAAACAGTTTGTATGCAGCAATGACATAATGCATTTGCCAGCTTAATGAAAAGGGATGGGAACATAACAGCAAGTTAATTTTTTAGATTAATGGGCTGCCATTTAAATTATTAGCAAGAGATGGGCGAGGTGGACTTGGCTGTGCACAGAACTGATGGGGGGAAACCTCAGCTCTTTGCTCCTGGCCAGCTACCTACTCACTCACTGACAAGGGATGCACCACAGCCTTTCCATGACTGCTTTCTGCAGGAATAACAATTTGCCTTCTTCAAGAGCTATCAGGAGAACCGTTTAAATAAAACTTACATACATCTTAAAACCACTGCACAGAATGCTCTTACATTTGCTCATTATATTAATGACAGTCTTAGTCTTTCCAAGGTGGATTTATTGTATTCTCTGTTTTCATTTCATTTTTCAAACTGTTATTTATAATAAGCAAGGTTTCATAGACCCTATCCATATGCCTTCTTGAAGGAAGATGTCTCAGTTAGAGGGGTATAAATTCAGAGAGGTGCAATAGTGTTATACTGACTGGCACTGGGTGATAGGTTCCAATCTTTTGGGTAAAACAGCTGTACTGATATGTGGAAATATTATATATATTTCTGTTAGTCTATAGAATATTCTGCATTTTCTGTTATTGTTTTAAAACTGTCTTCTCCCTCTGAACAAATAGACCAGTATTTTTTTTCTCAACCACCTAAAATTTCAGATAAGTAAGTTGGTATTGCATGTGATCAAATTCCAGCTTTCACATTGGAAGTGTTTATTCTTGCCACCTTTGCCGTGACAACTAGGCCAGTGCAGATACTGTGGAAATGGACATAAATGTGAATTCTGGCTGATTTCAAAGTAGGGTACCACTCCTCACTAAAGGAATAGTGTAATTATACTAATCAAAATGCTATAAACAGATGTCTTAATATATTTTAAGCTAAAGATAAAACAACAAAAAAAAGGTGAAAAACTGCATAAACAAACCAAAAAGGAATCCAATCACTTCAAGTAACGATCTCCCTTCTATATTTCACAGGTCTGAACGACTTAATCTCTTCACTGGCAATTTCCACAGATATTCGGGTCCTCCTGAACTGTGTGTCCTCAAATCTTGAGACTTTTGTCATTCAGGTATAAAATTAATTTAATAATTTCGGAAAAGAAAGAGTGATCACCTCATTTATCCTGCTACATGATGACCATCACTAGTCTGCAGGAGCTACATTATACAGTAGCAACCTGACCAGACTGCAGATTTGCATAAATACAATTTATGCATGCTGCAGAAAAAGAGGGAATTAATTGGCATACAAAAACTCCATCTGTGCAAACAACTACAAGCATATTTCTGTGCATATATCCACTCGGGCAGTTTCAGTATCTGCTCTCATTTCACAGAATCACAGAATGGTAGGAGTTGGAAGGGATCTTTGGAGATCATCTGGTCCAACTCCCCTGCTAAAGCAGGTTAGCCTAGAGCAGGTTGCACAGGAAGGCGTCCAGGCAGGTTTTGAGTCTCCAGAGAAGGAGACTCCACAACCTCCCTGGGCAGCCTGCTCCAGTGCTCTGCCACCCTCAGAGTGAAGAAGCTTTTCCTCATGTTGAGAAGGAAATTTCTGTGCTCCAGTCTGTGCCTGTTGCCCCTTGTCCTGTCACTGGGCACCACTGAGAAGAGCCTGGCCCCATCCTCTTGACACCCGCCCTTTAGATATTTATAAGTGTTGATAAGGTCCCCTCTCAGTCTTCTCTTCTCCAGGCTAAAGAGCCCCAGGTCTCTCAGCCTTTCCTCATAAGAGAGATGCTCCAGCCCCCTAATCATCTTTGTAGCCCTCCACTTGACTCTCTCCAGTAGCGCCCTGTCTCTCTTGAACTGGGGGGCCCAGGACTGGACAC